TGGACTTTTAATGGCCTGAAACTGGGCCTGGTTAATTGTGGGCTTTTAATGGTAATCTATGGTAGATTATCACGCTTGCATCCATCCTGCAAAATTAGATTAAGAAGACATCAATTTGTCAATAAAACACCTTAAAACTAGCTAATATTAAACTTGCAATAGCTTAATAAATCGGTGTAAAACCAACTCATCATGCCTGTTTTAGGATCCTTTCTTTTTGGAACTGCATCACGGGGCAGGAACTGTTGTAGGACCTTTTCGAGCCTCCATCATTGTATTGTCGAGGATATTGGGGAAGTTCGCAAAGTACCCAATAATAGGTTGTCTGGTTTGGTTCATCTGATGCTTCAGATGGCGGTTTTGATGTCTCTCCTTTTAAGTCATGTTAGTGATAATGATAGTGAAACATGGAAGGCTCAGGTTAGGTATCGAAAACCGATTGACTTTACCAAAGTGAAAGAGAATTTGCTTTCAACTGTAGTTATTATTAGACGTCCCAATGTGGGCAAGTCAGCCTTGTTTAATCGGTTGGTTCCATTTCTAGCCCCTGTAGTTCTCTGCAAAAAGTGAACTGTGCTTAGTTTGGATAGCATTAAAACAGAACATGAATCTAATACGCTAAATCTAACATTTAAAGTTTAAGAAGTTAAATTGTATATTTTCACGTTGTCGCCTTCTAAATATGGTATATGTATTCCTCTTTAGATTAAGAGATTGGCCTTAAGACTCATAATTTTTATTGTTTGTGGAAACAGGTTGAACTTAATATGGCGCGAAAGCGGACCACACCGGCCTCCTCTCCCCGTCCGACCCAACGTTGTCGAAATGTGAAGCCGTCGCATAGATTATTTTTTTCCTAAGTAGACATTGGTCATTAATTCTAAGTTCTTAACTTTTAGGAAATAAAAAGCATCCGTATGCCGACCACAGAGGAGTTGCAAGCAGCGCACATTGTTCCAACTGTGCGATACCAACCTTCGTATCTCCTACTGCTTGCATAATGTGCTCTAATTTTGGTGCCTGTTTTTTCTTATACTTTGTTATTCATCGACAAATTCTTGACACGGCTCATGTGATATCGTCCCTCATATGTACAAACTCTGGTGAAAAGGTCGGGATACACTCGAAAGGTAATAACTACAAAAATTAACAATCACAATTCATATGTGACAAAACCTCTAAAGCAAATTAAATGTTAAATTTTTACATTTAAGTAAAATTTACTGACCATAAGTGGCATAATGAACTCAGGACAACCTCACCCTTGTGGACCCTCTTTCTTATCAAAAACATTTGAAGACTTCTTCAACAAGTCTAACTTATCCACAAGACCCATCAAATACCTAAATGAACGTCTCCCCCATGGAAAGACACAACAAGCATCTAGATCGTCAACAATTGCAAGACATTTTTCATCAATGTGTGTGCCATACTTCTCATTGCTCACTAAGACCGAGCATAAAAAATACAACACCGCCATCTTTAACTTGTCTTCTATGCAGATTGATTTATCTCTTTCTTTATTTGAATCAACTCGTCTCCTCCTGTTTCTATGATGTTCCTCGGGTGGGATCACCATGCTTTCTAATTTCATTTTCACATCCTTTATTGTTATCTTTGTCTTCTCCGAAAAGTGTCTATTTTAAAAATCGTCACTGCCTATTTCTTCTCACTCGTCAGGATAAGCAGCACAATTGAATCCACTAATCAATGCATGTTCCATTAGAGTATCAGATTGGTACGTCGTTTATGATGAACCAAATTTCTTTTTTCTTTCCCGTCACGACCTCACGGCATCTCAACATCCACATTGTCATTAGACTCATGTCAATGTGTTCGGGAACAGAAAAAAGATGGGCGAATTGAGGGTCCATGAACCATTGCATCTCATACGGATGATCGCTTAAGGCTTTACTAATAACTTTTACAATTTCTCCCAAGGCACACTTTGTTGTTATTTTATATTTAAAGTTCATGCGCTGCCAAGATAATTTGAATTTAGGTCGCGGGGCATCGCAAGCTTGCAATACTCATGTTATATGTATCAATTGGTTAAAATCTTAAGCACTACACATATGGTTTAAAAATGCACAACCATCATGTTTTCGCATCTAATTTTGAATGACAAATTGCGAAATTGACTTGATTAACAACGGAGGCAACATACTTACAAGGACTTGAGCTTCAGTTCCTCAAACTCTGCATTTCTAATCAAGTAACTAAAATTTAGTAAATAAGCAAAAACTTAATGATGGTTCCAAGGTTCGTGATTATGGTGTCTCTACCGTGCTTGGAGTGGTTAGCATTGATGGTGGTGGTGTCAAGAGTGGCTGGTTGTTCTCATTAGCCGGCTGGGGTGGAGTCGCACTTATTCCTTCAGAGTTATTTTTTAACTCTGTGTCCGACGGCTCCACATTTCGACAACGTTGGGTCGGACGGGAAGAGGAGGCCGGTGTGGTCCGCTTGCGCGCCATATGAAGTTCAACATGTTTCCACAAACAATAAAAGTTACGAGTCTTAAGGCCAATCTCTCAATCTAAAGAGGAATGCATATACCATATTTAGAAGGCGACAACGTCAAAATATACAATTAACTTCTTAAACTTTAAAAATTAAATTTACCGTACTAGATTCATGTTCTGTTTTAATGCCATCCAAACTAAGCACGATTTAATTTTAAGCTATTTTTTTCTCAAAACTAATCATTTAACAACCAATTATGCAAGTAACAAATAAACAAACTCAATACTTCAACATATCAAACACATTTCCAGCAATAAGAAATCCATTTTCACGATTTTACAATAAAAAAGACGAAATAAATGGTACAAAATAAGTCATTACTTTTATCGAACATATGATAGGCAATAATGAAATAATTCCTAATTCACACAAAATCAACAACCTAGATGACAAGAAAAATTTAACAGAGAAACCCCGGCTTATACTAGGAAATGATTGAGTGGGGGAGATTTCTTGACCGTCTAAGTCGGAGGTGAGGGCACAAGGTTGATCAGAACTGCGGGTGGGGCCTTGGCGTATGGGACGAAATTAGTGGCCAGAGATTTTGGGTGGCAGGAGATGGAGCGGGAGGCTTGATCGCGTCGGACCGGAGCTTGTTGGAGGATGTCCGTTTTGGAGGAAGAAGGGAGAACTAGAACTGAAGAGTTCTGTTTTGTTGTTTTTCTTTTTGTTACTTTTTTTTTGTTGGTCCTCTGATTTGGTATTTGAGTTTTCTTTTGTTTTTGTTTTTTTTTCAATTTCAAAACAAGGGTTATTAGTCGGAGTTTCAATTGGAGGCTATTGGTTGAAAAAATCCCGTTTAAACTCCTACCTATTTCTCAGAAACTATGTAAGAGCCATCTTGGAGCCTCTTACTTCAGTTATATCTCCACTAAAATTTCTAGAATCATCAACTTTTTCTCGGAGTAGATCCAATCGCCGATGCGAGGAGCCACTTAGAGTCGGCGAGGTGTTGACGTCGACGAGGAGGCGAGGCTGTAAATCAATAGTAAAATGGAAATCTTCGATGAAAAACAAGAAATACCCAGAAGGTTAAACAAATCCATACACATGGATGTAAAACCAAAAGTGAAGGATTCCTTAAAACCCTAAAATGCAGCGGCATCAGAGCACCCACTTGTCCCTAACCTGTAAGGAGAAGCATGACTCCCGTTCCTCCTCCGCCGCCAACTCCGACCGCCAAACCACATCCAAACCCACTCTAAGGAATCACCATGTTTAAGGAGCCAAACCCACGGGGGCTTAGATTCGCCGGCATACAGATGTGCCCAAAGGCGGCAGCCAAATGCACGCCGGAAAAAACCCCCAATACCTGCTTTTCCCTCCCCAGCCACGACCCTGTCGACACCTCACCGGAGATATCCACACTGCGATAGCCGAGCAGCCTTCTATGGAGTGAGTGTGTTAAAAGTCTAAAGTTCAGACCAATATGTAACTTTGCTATAATGGAGCATAATCGCATATTTGCATAGAAACTCATTTCTTGAAAAGTTGAACGATCGATGAAACAAAGATGCGACTGTGAGCGTGTTAAAACTCATTTCTTGTGTGCTAGGACATTGTCTGAAAGTGTACATGTGGAAAGCCCAGTGCCATGGATCTATACCATCAATTATACAGTACAGGAATCGTGGAATGATGATGAGAATCGCATAGGAATGAAGATGATTGCAAAAGAGCACGGTTGGAATGATTATTCAGCCCAAGCCCAATAAAGAAAGTCATTTTTTTTACGGTTGAAAGAGAAAAATAGGTTGAGATGAATTAAAATTAATAGGTCAATAGTTTACATAAATTAATAAATATATTAAATTATTATTTTTATTTATAATTTATCTAGTTATAAATCATAACTTGATAAGTTATTATCCATAATTATTTATAATTTGTCTAATTATAAATCATAACTTGATAAATTTATCCATAACTTATCTGATTATGAATCATAACTTGATAAATTATAACTTATTAATTTCTATAATTAAAAATTAACATATATACTTTCTTAAACTTTTCATATAGTTCTATTTTTTACCGTTTCCATTTTTTTAATTATAATTGGGAAAATGTACCGGTTTTTTCCACCTACACTAGCCGGTTTCCACCTGTTTTGTCCTCTTCCTCATTTGTTGATGTGTCGCCGTCTAATTTACAAGTCACGGTACTGTAAACTTTCCGTTTTAATTATTAAAAAAAAAAAAAACCTCTCTCTCAGGAATAACAAACAAATGACTTGCTTTGCCTGCAAAAATAATAATTTTCACTAAGATAAGTTCATAATTAATACGGTCTTCTTTTCGAAGAGTTTCGGTAAATACATTGTGTTTTTATATGCAATTTCCACAGTTAAAATCGTAGTTTTATAAATTAAAAAATATGATTCTGGAGAATAGAACTACACGGTGTAGAAAACGACTCACGCTGTGTCTCAACTCTAGAAGAAGGATGTTTCACGTAATTAAGGAATAAAATGCTGTTCGTACTTCATTATAGTTAAACGACACTGGCGTTTATTGCATGAGAAACAATATACTGTTCTTTATTTTACTGTTCTAAACTAGTGGAATTCAGATACCTCTTTTCTTCTCGTTTTTTTTTTCTTGAATGGTAGAATTTAGAATTCTAACAAACCAAAAAGAAGATGAATCAGAGTTGATCATTGCTCACTACATAATTGACTTTAGAAAGGGAAATTCCAAGAAATAAGGCCCGTCATTGCTTGCAATGATTCTAGGCTGGGAAGAATCAGAAACAATTGACTTTTTGATGGTCGGATGCATGTCAATGGAAGCCACAAAAAGTAGCCAAGCTGTATAAATTTGCCACGAGTTAATGGAAAGTCAATCGGCCCTCAAGTGTGTTCAACTTGCAAAGGCTTCTTATAGGACTGCAATAAAAGGGATGAACAAACCACGCTGAGGGATGAAGCAGCCATGCAAGCGCCAGCAAGCCAAGGCGGGAGTCGGATTCCGGTTAGGGGATATAAGATTCCGGCTGCTATTGGCATGCCAAGGATGTTGTAGCCCAGGGCCCACACATAGTTAAGCCGAATCCTGGACATGGTCTTTCTGGAGAGGTCTATGGCTGTGACAACGTCTTCCAAGTTGCTCTTGATGAGAACTATATCAGCTGCTTCAATAGCTACGTCAGTGCCCGCACCTATTGCCATGCCAACATCAGCTGCAACTAAAGCCGGCGAGTCATTTATTCCGTCCCCTACCATTGCCACATTCATTCCTTTCATCTGCATCCATTTCCAATCATGAAGTTAATAACGCAGGAACCAATGTAGTAAGCTGGGAAACCAATAGAGTAAGTTCAACCATTTTAACTCCTAGACCTAGTATAAAGGTCAAAACATTTGTGAGATTTGTCCCACTCGTTTAGTACAAGATGGCTAATTCTTGTGCTTGTAAAGATCCTAGATGCTTTTAAAGTGATTTGTCCACTTCAGATATTAAAGAAATATTCAACCTAATTTTCTTAAAATATGGCAGAAATAACTTCTGCTGCAAGAGATTAGGACTTCTAAGAAGTTTAGGTACCTTGAGTCTATAGTGCAGTACGAAAGAGATATAAAAGAGGATATTCAACATAGGATTAAGGCAAGGTAGGTTAAGTGGAGAATGCTATGGGAGTTTTATGTGATGGCAAAATGCCTATTAAGTTGAAAGAAAAGTTCTATAAAACTGCAATCCGCCCAGCTATGTTATATGATAGTGAATGTTGGGCCATTAAAAGACAAAATATATCTAAGATGAGTGTAGCAGAAATGCGTATGTTAAGATGGATGAGGGGCCATACGAGAATAGATCACATAAGGAATGAAATTATTCGTAGTAAAGTAGGTGTAGCACCAATAGAAGATAAGGTGCGCGAAGGCCGCTTGAGGTGGTACAAGCATGTCCAATGTAAACTGCTAGAAGCATCAATTCGTGCTTAGGAGGACATTCTTATACTTAATACTAGGAGAGGGAGGGGTAGACCAAGAATTACGTGGACCGAAATAGTTAGGAAAGACATTCTAGATCTAAGCTTTCAAGAAAGTCTAATTTCGAACAGAGCTGCGTGAAAAAATGAAATCCATATAACCGACTCCAATTAAATTGGAATTAAGGCTTCTTGTTATTGTTTTTGTTTGTATGGCAGAAATAACTTCTACAGAGGAGGAATATTGAGGCAACGGGTTGAGTGCAGTGCAAAAAAAAAAAAAAAAAAGAAAGTCATCATTATAAAGGCAAAATAACTTTACCTGTAATTCTTTGATCTTATCAGCTTTTCCCACTGGATCCGTCTCAGCAAAGAAGGTTTCAATTCCGACCTCCTTTGCAACAGCAATTGCTGTAGATAGGTTATCACCAGTCATCATGACGCTGGATATGCCCATTGACCGGAGAAATGATATGACAAGCCTTGCCTCAGGTTTCACGGGATCGGTTACAGAGAAAGCTCCAGCAACGTCCCCATCAATGGCGACCAAAACACATGTCCGAGCCAGTTGCTCATGTTCCGAAATATACGCCTCAACATTTGGACCAACCGGGACATTAAAAGCACGCATGAGTCTTTTGTTCCCAACCAAAACTGTTCTATGACCTACTTTTCCACTCACTCCCGTTCCAAGGTGCACCTCAAACTCTTTAACATCAGCAACATGCTCAGTGTTGGACCCAAACTTCTGGCGCAGCCTCTTGGCATGCTCCACAACAGCTTTTGCAATTGGGTGCTCACTGTTGGCCTTAATTGGAGAGAAGAATTTATGTTAAAAAGATTAGCACCAAGATATTCAATCTATATTCCAACTATTTCCAAAACACAAACGTCAGTTATTTAAAAACATAAGCACCCACCTCTGTAGCTGTAGCCATATCGCATACCTCCTCCATCGAAAAATTAGAAAATAGTACAGCACTTACTACCAATGGCTTCCCAACAGTTAGCGTTCCGGTCTTGTCAAATACAATGGTTTTGACCTGTAGCAGAGGTGAGTTATGGTTAAAACATTCAGTCACAAGCAATATGATTTAGCTTCATATAAGCCCGAGTCAGAATCACACAGCTATTGGCATTACCTTGTGAGCCTTTTCAAGTGCATTTCCACCCTTGATAAGGACACCTTGAGAAGCACCTTTTCCAGAGGCAACCATGACTGCTGTCGGTGTTGCTAGACCCAAAGCACATGGGCAAGCAACAACCAATACTGAAATACCAAATTGCAGTGCAAGCTCAAATCCATCCATGTCCTTTGGTATCAAATGCTTGGGGTAAATACCTGCCTTTCCAGAAATATACCATCCCAACCAGGTTATAAATGCTACAGTAACAACCTGATTTGTACGAACAAACAAGATGTCACTCCACAGAAAAACTGTCACTAAAAAAATGATGGCCTTGAACATGTAAACAAAAATTATGTACGATAACAGGAACATAAACTCACTGTCGGAACAAAAACTCTTGATATCTGGTCAGCTAGTTTCTGGACAGGTGCTCGGGCAAGTTGAGCAGCTTCAACTAGCTGAACAATCTGAGAGAGTGCAGTCTCTGTTCCAACATGGGTCGCCTTAACCAGTAAGCATCCATTCTCATTCATGGTCCCTCCAATAACCTGTTCATGGCATCAAAAGAACATTAAAAAAAAAAAAAACATTGATCATTGTTTTAAGGAGCACAACCATAAAGAGCATTTAGGATCCTTTTGTAATTTTTTTCCTTAAAAAGAGGATTTTTTCCTCTCTACTTCCATTTTTTCACACCTCTTCATCCATTCCAAATACTCCATTAAATGTATAATTAAAGTTAAATAAATGAATAAACAACAAGTGCATCACCTTTGGAATTTAAAACCCAAGAAAATTATACCTTGTCCCCAGGTTTCTTTGCAATGGGCCTTGCCTCTCCAGTGATCATACTCTCATTTACATGACTTTGGCCATCTATGACGACTCCATCAATGGGAACTTTTGCACCAGGAACAATCTTGATAATGTCATTCCTCTCTATCAATTGAGTGTTAATTTCCATCTCTGCAATCACATTTCCATCTGCATCTAATGTTAACAGATAAGCTGAATCAGGTGCAAGGTCAGTGAGCTTTGCTAAGGCATCTGACGTTTTCCCTTTAGCAACAATTTCCAAGTACTTTCCCAAGAGAATGAAAGAAATCAACATGGCACTGGTCTCAAAGAATTCTTGCCCTTCAAATGTTTCCGATGTCAATGCTTTAATCGCTACATAAACAGAGTAAAAATAAGCAGCATTTGTGCCTAGTGCAACCAGAACATCCATATTCGCAGATTTTCTCCTTAATGCATGATATGATCCCACGTAGAACCTGAAAGGAAGAGACAAGAAAGCCTTAATATATGCATTCAGTATATGCTTACAAAAGAGAAACGATCAGATTCCCCAATATAAAACTGTAAACTATGTAAAAGTGTTGGGAATATGAGTACCTTTGTCCAACAATGAACTGCACAGGTGTGCAGAGGATCCAACTTAAAAGCATCCCAACTGTAAGCATGTTGTGAATCTTATATTCTAGCCAGTCACCATATGGAGGAAGCATAGGTAGTACCATGGAGAACATAAATACTGGAATCGTAAATAGGCAGCTCACCAAAAATTGATTTCTAAATACCATAATTTCGTGCAACTGCTCTTGTTCTCTTCGTCGTGGAGGAACATATAAGCTTGCACCGAATGTGTTGGGGTCATGTCCTGCTTCTTCAATGCACTTTATAAGGGATCGTGGGCCAGTGACTTTTGGGTCATAGCTAATAGTTACCTTATGATCTTTCGTGTCAAAAGAAACATCAGTTACACCGAGTGCCGACTCAAGAGAGGATTTTATTATGGTAATGTCTTCCTGAGTATTAACCCCTTCAAGTTTTAGATGCACTTTGTTAGCATCATTCCCAGAGCTGATGAGATCAGCTCCAAAGCCAGCATCTTCTATTGCTTCTATTATGCGGTCAGTATTAATAACGCTTGGATCAAAATGGATCTTTGCTTCTTCAAGTGCTAAACCGACTACTGCTTTCTTAACTCCATTGACCATTTGAAGGGCACGTTCAACAGACTCAGAGCAGTTTGTGCATGCCATTCCTTTAATCCTCAGCCGGCATACTTCTATGTCTAGTTCTGGAAAGTCGTCAACTTCAAAACCTGTGTTCTCCAAGGTTTCCTTGATTTCTTTCACCTACAAAAAATCTTCATCACGACTTTTTCCAATTTCCAGTAATATATACAAACCACAAGCAGGAATTAATCATCTTACTAAAGAGAGGAAGGCCGCACAAAGTTGGAAATGTTTGTCATTAAAATTCAACCCTTGCATTATTCCTAAACCGTCAAAACTGCTCCCCAACACCCCCAAACCCCACCCCATTCTTTTCCTTGTTTATAATCATATCACACAAAACTATCAAAAGCCTGCAGAAACAAAGACCACCATGATGATGACAATGTTGATCATGATTAAGAAAATAATTTTGCTCATGATCACTGCAATAAAGTACAAGTGCAATATCATGCCCAATTTTTTTTCAAAAAAATAAATTTCTTTTCAAAAGCATGAGACTTTATTGTGAATTATTCACAGCTTTGCTTACATTAATCAGCTCTGGCACGTATTTGATAACTGCTTGGCCTTGAAGCGGCGACACCACAACACTACGGACTCCATTAAGCTTTCCAAGTGAAGATTCTATGGATGTTGCGCAAGATGCGCATTCGATACCTCTTACTCTGAACATAATCGTACTAACTTTCTCATTTGTCTTGTGATCTTGTTCATGGATTGTGATTGCAACACTATCAGCACACTGCAATAGAGGTGCTTTAAGGTCATCGTTTCCATTGGCTTCCATCTTTACGTTGCAGTTTTTCAAATTCATCGACCCTATTCAAACATTGAAAATCTTAATAAGACGAAAAAAAAAAAAATCTAGAGATTAACTAATAAACAAATAAAGATAAAATGAAATAATTTACTAATAAAATAAAGTAGATACCTCCAATGCAAATAAAAAATTCATTTCAACCAATGAAAATGAATAAAAAAATAAGAGATTCAACCAATTGACGTCATGACCAATGCCAAACATCAAAATTCAGCAACCTTCGAAAACTTCAAACAAAAAGCACATGAACAAAGAAACAGGAATTACCAATTCCAATTTTGCGCACGAATGATGATAAAGTACAGAAATGAAGACGTTTGAAAACCAAAATCACCTCAAAAGAACCTCGGCAATCTTAGCCCGCTTTAATGGCGTCAAAAGCGAAGAAGACGACGATCATGTGGGGGAGAAATGAGAAAGGGGAAAAAAAAAGGTTCCAATAAGAGGCGTCGCAGAGGAAAAGGGTTAGGGTTTCTGGGAAAGGAAAGATAAGAGTTAGTGGGTGTCACATCGATTGGGAGAAGTTAGAGAGAGAAACGGAAAGAAGAGGTCGGCAACCGAACCGATGACAGAGAGGAGAGAGAGAGAAGAAAACAAAGGGCGCCAGAAAAAGAAGTCTGCGTGGGAAGTCTTTGTCGTTTTGGCTTATATACGATGGGTGGAATGGAAAGGATTTTTTTTTGAATTTTTGAATTTCGTAACGTCCGGCTAAAGTGGTTTCCAAACTTCCCACCAACACCGACTTTCCTCATTCCTCTGCCCCTCTATTTCCCTCTTTTGCAACGACGGTGAGGGTAAAATAGTAATTACATGTGTAGGTGCCTCGCCATGGATTCATCATAAAGTCATCATTCACGAATCACGTCATACAAGACTAGGCAATAAAGAGAGAGATCCAATATATATAAATTATAAAAATTTATTTTAACTCTGTTTATTTTATCAATTTAAATTTTATTACAGTTAAAAATTTTTAAAAATAGTTACATTTAATTTTTTTATTACAGTAAAAGATTTTCATATAAAGTTACATCTCAATTTAAATTAAAAATTCGAATCAACGAACTAAACGGATCTTTTTTTTTAATCACAATTACAAAAAAAAAAAAAAATCTATGCTTGAAGGAGGAAATGTCTTCATTAATACAAACAAAAATGGTGTATGTTTCCTTAGGAATTTAGGCGGTGGAAACTAGACCCCTTTAATTTTTGCATTTGAATTTATGATTTTAATTTTACGACTGTGTTTTTTTAGTTAAAAATTTAAATAAAAAAATTTTATTTAAATAGATTCTCTCATAAAATTTAAATTTAGAAGCAAAGTTACTGAAAAATGTTATTTTTAGTTGTTTTTTAATAGACTTGATGCCAAGGATTAGTTGATAATTAAAAGAAAGAGTCATTGCCGACTTAATTGTTGCCACGTATGTATATAACAAGTGAATTATTGGTTGAAAATCATTGGATAATTTTTATGACAAAATTTATGGCGTTTAGGACCACGAAATATGTAGGCCCTATTCATTTCGCCGATTCGAGTTTAGAATTCGAGTTTTGCTACAGTAAAAAGCTCTCAGAAACAGTCACATCTAACTTTTTTGCTACAGTAAAAAGCTCTCACACAAAATCACATCTCAACTCGAATTATAAACTCAAATCAGCGAAGTGAACGGACCCAGATAATCCTGTGAACTATATCCTATATCCCCTTTATCGACGCAAGCGTGGAGCACCAATACATGTGAAAACTGAAAAGGCATCAAAAAAACTTTTGCCCTTTACGCGCAAGCATAGGATTGTAATAGCACAAGAGTTGTTCGGTTGTATTTTTAAGCTATGATAATTTAAATGTAAATTTTAAGTTAAATTTGAGTTGAAATTGTAACTCGAGTTTATGTTTTGATGTGCATATTTGAATTATAATTTGAATTGAGAATCTATTTGAGTTTGTGCACGAGTGAGTCAAAACTTGAATTTGTATTTAGATAGTATTTTAATAAAAATTTAATGGTGATGAAAAATTTTAACATGTGTGAGATTTTATTCGTCTCTTCGTTGTGAACACATAGAAAAAAAATCATTTCAATCGGAATTAAAATGAAAAAGTTATGACGTTCTTAATAATAGAAAAAATATTGTTCATTAACTTGAATTTGAGTTTAAAAACTTAAGTTGAAGGGGAAACTTGAACTAAGATTTTAGTCCAAAACTCAAGTTAAAACTCGAGTTAAAATTGAAATTCAAACTCAAATTTTACAAACGAATATAAACTTGAATAAAGTTGTAACTTGAGTTTAAATTCTTTTTGAGTTTTACTCCGAAAGAACAAACCTAAAATTATATACTTTTGCCTTTTGCATGCGAAAAGGATATGCCAGTCGAAAGAGAGTAGAGAATAGAGATTAGGTCAGAGTCATTCCAAGCATTCTTCTACTCTGCTTGTGCTTTTAACACATTGCATCCACTACAGATTCATTTTAAATTCAACACTTTAGAATGAGGGGAAAAAAGGGATTAATTTCATCCTTTAAACTTTAAAAATTAAGGGTGTGTTTAGTAAGAGGTTTCGTACCCTGATTCGAATCATGGTTTATAGTTCGTTACAGTATTTTTTCTCACAAAAAATACACGTAAATAGAAAATGATTCTAATCTTATTATTTTAATCCATAAACCAAACGTCTCATAACTTTTCTCTTTAAATTTTGAGTTAATTTCACTTACTCATTTTGTTAAAACTTTTGTTTAAGAGTATAAAGAAAAAGATAAAATTAAGTGTGGTCATGTGATTTAATGTTTATTTCTGTTTGTTTTAAGTTCGCGTGAAATGATCTTAAAATTTGAAGAGTATTAGTGAAAATAATTCAACAAAGTATTGTTTTTATTCTTACTATTATTAATATTATTATTGACGTTGCTGTTTTCCACACGAAAATTTGTCTCAAGTTGAAACAAAATAAGAAATATCTGCTAAAAAAATGCAATTTTCATACGTTATTGAAACGGCAGGTCGCCCACCTTAAAGTCAATGACATGTTGTGTATTTCATCAAAAAATTGTTTCACTGAACATAGACGACGTCGATTTATTCGTCAATTATTTTACGACGTCATTTACCCCTTTTTATCGGCATTCAGTTTTTTTTAAAACTGAAATCAATCTCTAAATAAAACTACCAAACGCATTTTTAGAAATAATTCAAAAATAAAACTAAAAACGTTTTCATTTTCATTTTCGTACAGAAAATAAAAACGTTTTGGAACCAATTCCAAACGCACCCTTTATTTCCTGTCTTTTTGCTTTTACTTTAGTTTTTTTGTTGATTGTCTTTCGATGTCGTTTCTTTCTTACGATTGTATTCTCATTTCGGTGTTGCATATTTCCTTCACCGTCAGACTCACTTTAATTTTGTTATTATTGTTGCAATTTTGGTTATTTGTTGTTTTCGACTTTTATATGGCGTCTTCTCATTTCTCATCTTTAGCTGCATTTTTCCTATTGTCGTCGTTTTTTTGTTTATTGTTTTTTACCTTTATATCTTTTTCTAGCGTCGTTTCCTTTCATCGTTATGTCGTTTCAGTTTTTCTCGAGCCTTTTCTTTTCACATTTTTCTTAATGGACGTTTCAGCTTCTCATTTCTCAACTCTTTCCTTTTCTTGCTGTTTTTCTTTCAATGTTTTGGTTGTTTCGCTTTTCCTCGTTCTCTATTTTATGTCATTTTTGTTAGATCTTTTTTTTTCACCTTCCTGTCATTTTACCATCTATTTCGTTTCTTCCATCAGGGTCGTTCACTTCATCGGTGTTTTTATAATTTCAATTTTTTTATTTTGTGTCGGTCTCTCTTATTTGGTGTCGTTTCTACACTTTCATCATGTGCTTTTTTTTTTTTTTTTTTTGTTTTCTAGAAGTTGTCACATACCTTTTTTTTTTGTGGGTATGGTTGTTTGTTGTTCATTTTTCATCCTTTTGTTGTTTCTTTTTATTTATTGTAATGGATTTTTATCGTTTTAGTACCCTATTTTCAACGGAATGTCAAAATAGTACTATATTATTTAAATAAGATTTTTTAAAATATATTTTGTAAATTTTAAACAGTATATTAATCAATGGTATATTGACTGGATAAACAAGACAAGAATAAAAGAGTCGTGTTTACTTTAATCTCTCTCAAAACAAAAAATAAATCTACTATCGACCTGAATACTCATAAAACGAACTGAGAAATCTTCATGCAAGAGAGTTCAAAGAGAAAAGGCCTCCATGATACGTACTGGTTTTTATTTTCTTTTGGTTTGGAGAACTTAGAAGATTAAATAGAAGAACGGACAAAAGAACTTTTGGTTTATTCATGAGGAACTAAGCCGGAACTAACCCCAAATTTACTCAATACAATTATTGATGATAATTTACCTCCTATTTATAACTTGTCTATCTTATCTGAAGCTTCCCAACGTCCAAAATTAACAGGAAAATAGTTACAGCAATCAAGATAGAATAATTAACAATATCCACATTACTCAGTCAACTAATAACGTTACAGCAACAAATTATTTAAAATAAGACATTTAAGTGAACACATAACAAGTAAAGAACTAGACTTAGTAGGTGATTGAATCACCCATGTAACACTTCATGAGAGAGACTTTGAACAAAAAAATATACATGTTCTTTTCCGTTCCCATTCATTATCTGATGGGGAACTCGCACCAATAAATCTACCACATAAAAATAGCAAACTTTTTGCTGACTTTATCTCACTCCCACAACTTTATTACTATTAGAAAAAGAGGAAAAATAAAAAATTTATCTAGAGTCACAAAATGTTTATAGCCGTTTAGTTCGTTAATTTAAGTTTTTAATTTGAGTTTAAATGTGATTTTATGTGATAGTTTTTTATTATAATAAAAAAGTTATACGTAAGTATTCATGAGAGTTTTTTACTGTAATAAAATTTAAATTTTAAACTCAAATCAATAAAATGAACAGAATCTTAAAATATTTATGACTGACACAATTTGAAACAAAAACCTTGGGCTTTTTTTTATAGGCTTAAACCATCTCCCTTTTTACTTCCAAACCAATATGGGATTTGCGCTCCCTTTTTATTCTATCAAAATACGGACAATCTCAACATTAGTTAAAAACATTGCGCTATGACCGTCATCTTTCTCGACGATCATAATTAATAAAGGGAGAAAGAGAGAAATATGTTAAGATTTGAGATGAATTAAAATTAATAGGTTAATAGTTTACATAAGTTAATAAATAGGTTAAATTACTATTTTTATTCATAACTTGTCTGGTTATGAACCATAACTTGACAAGTTATTGTTTATAATTCACGATTTTTATCCATAACTTGTCAAGTTAATTTTTATAACTAAAAATTAGCTTATATACTTTCTTAAACTTTTTATATTAGCATATTTTATACTATTTCCGATTAATAAAGTAGAGAATTGTCGTAGCCCACTATAAAAGAGTCTACCCATTTTAAAATCAACAAATTTCAACAATTTCACTTTAGCACATATCGAAAAACCTTGTTGAAAAAATTATGGTGCAACTAATGTTTAGCTTTCTCGAAAGTTTATCAGGCATTGACATAAAATTCCACTACATATCTTGCATCAACGCCAGATCATTTCCGGTGCGCAAACTTTTAGATCCACTAAAAGCAACACATGATATTCCATGGCAA